GGACCGCACTGGCCGACACTGGCAGACTGCGTGACTGCGCGGGGACTCGGCCAGAAACAGAGACAGGGCCGAGTCCGAGGATGAGGACCCTGAGGGTGAATTGGAGGTTGTAACGCAACCCGAGTCTGACTTGGAGCACCCCCAAAACTGTAGCCGCTGGCCTGGCCTCTGGTGGGCCATATGCCGTTGAAACTGCCTCGGCACACACATATCTATCGGAATTTTCGGACGTTACGAGGGGGCGGCGATTGTGAGTCCATTAGAGACCGTGACAAGAGTGGATGGTATGGCAACAGACGTTATCACGCGAGTTGTCTGAGAGGCGAGCGCGGGCCGCGGGTCTGCCGCCGCCGCCGGGCGCGCAGGAGAGCCGGCGCAGCACAGCACACCGCGCCGCGCGACAACTGCAGGGGCGATGTCAACATAGCGCTGCGGGGGTGGAAGGGTCGGGAGGGGGCTCCCTAGCATGTGTGTGGGTGGCGGGGCGGGGAGAGGCGGAAGGCTTGCTCGCGTGCGTTCAACTCAGTGGGAGACGAGGACCACAAGTAGTGTGTACAGTGGCTACCACGAGTAACCGCTCAAAGTGTATTTTCGCGGCCGCGAACGCGCGCGCGGAGGGAATAGGGAGGGGTAGGGGAGGGGGTCGACTCAGCTGGTCGGGACGCGCGTGACGTCCCGCGTCTCCCGGCGCAACGGGCGCAGCACGCCTCGGCGAGGCCTGGCGAGGTGATAGCAATAACATGTTTTGCACGGCCAGGCTGCGCGCTGCGCTGCCCTGCGCCGCCGGGGGCTGCTCGGGTGCAGCGAGGACGCGGACCCCCCAGCAAAGCAAACAGCGCCGCGCGCTCGACAGTCCGAACAGAACGGCGTCCTGCACCTCCATTGACCCCCCCTCTCCCCCCCTCTACGCTAGGGAGCGGACTCGGCCTCCAGCGGGGGCAGCGTGTACGAGGACCCCCTGGCCGACACCCCCAGGGCTCCCGGGCGATCGCTACTGCTACAGTCGGACCTGAGTCTCGATATGGACCTGGAGCTGTTCAGCAACGAGAACTTCCACGCCGACAGCCCGGAGTCGTCGTCAGACGTCTCCGAAGCGCTCCTGTTCGCCCCAGTTTGGGGTGGCTGTGGCGTCACCGGGGACCCTCTGAGCGACCTGGGCCTGGGGGTGGAGGAGGCCCAGCTGGACAGCGTGGTCGAGTGAGTCAGGGGAAGGGAGGGGTGTCGTGGGCCACGAGGACGTCCTGAGGACGGTCCGCGACTGAACCGGCAACAGCCACGCGCCTCAGGCTGCTGCCTCTGCTGCCAGTGGACAGCAGGGAAGACCACGACCGTCCCCGAGCGCACGCCTTCACCGAGGTCGACGCCGGCTGCGGCGGCGGTGGAGGCGGTGGCGGCGCCATCGCCAGCCCCCGTGAGGTGGCCCGGCAGGCGACCCAGCAGGTGACGATGGTAGCCGATGGCAGCGGCGGCGGTCGGGGAAATAAAAGTACCACAACGGCTGTCGGTTGCAGCAGGGGCGAGACAGCAACCCCACCACGGTGGCCTGCCGCTACTCCGCATCTTCCCGCGCGCTCCCGGTCCAGCAGCTGCACCGGCAGGTGTGATAGCTGCGGGTGTTTCTGCTGTCAAGATCGCCGTGAATTGGAGGCACATATATCTCTCCTCTTGCAGGCTGACCACCACGTGGATAGGCTCGAGCGCAGCGGACCGTCTCGACCCATCATTAGGCCCTGGACCGGTGAGTATTAAAGGTTTTGTATTTCGGTCTTCGTTGGTTTTTTTTCTGTCTTTATTCTCCTCTTCCATCCTGTAGCAGCTAGCGATGGGAGCGACGCTGCCACCCGCCTGTCATCCGTCCGTGGCATTGGCGCGGGAGAGTTCAACTCGGTGCCGCCGCCGGCGCCGCCCCCGTCCGAGCTGACCGTCCCGAGTCTGCTCGACGCCGCCGTTCCCCCAGACAACCCAAGTTCTTCCCCGAATCGTTCCCCTGCCGCGCCGACCCCTGCCATCCCGCAGGCCTCCAGCTTGGGCAGGGTGCGTCAGTGGCCGTTGGTAGTCGCGGGGTGCTCTCTGGCCTTCCCCGCCGTGACGCCGACCCCCTTCCCCTCACTGTCCCCGCAGGCCGCGCGCGGCGCCCCTCGCTACGAGCGCCCGACCACGGCGTCGAGGCTCAAGCGCCGCCCAGGTGGGCCCATGTCGGCGGTGCCCGTGGCCGGGCCGGTGGCCTCTCCCCGGGGGCGCGCCGGCGCCACCCAGAAGCACTTCCCCTTCGTGGCGGCCACGTCCACGTCCCCAAGCCACAACCTGCAGCTCAACTTGCAAGCCGTGAGCGCGCTGTGTGCCGGGTGCTGCTGAAGGGCTTTGGGCCTGGGGCCGGCCCTCGTGCTGGGGCGTCCTGACGAGGGTGCTGCTTCCCGCAGGTCATGTCCCAGAGGAGGATGCGGCGCTCTCCAACGGCTGCGTCGCCGCGCCCCACGGGGTGCTCTCCGCGCGGGCCCGCCTCTGCAGGGCCGACGCCTCCGCGGCGGCGGGCGCACCCCGGTCCCTCCCCGGCACCCGCCGCCCCCTGCCCGCTGCTGGGCGGCGACCTCAGCGACGCCGACTCCTCCTGTGGGGACGCGAGCGTGGGCAGCGCCTCCAGCTGCTCCTCTGTCGAGTTGGACCGACGAGACGGCGGCCTCGACAAACTTGCCCCGCAGGTACCGACGAAACGTCTGCTCAAGGCTGCTCAGGCAGAGATACAGTATCTCTCTACACCATCGTGGCTCAAGGTCTAACAAAACGGTTCACAATTGTAAAGCTCTTGACTTGCTCCTGCAGTGCCGGTGGGAGGCCGGGCCGTTGGCGGGGTCGCGCGCCCCGGGCCGGCCCAGCCGCTGCCGCTGCTACCCCCGTCACGTGGCGGAGTACGTCCACGTCCTCAAGCCCTTCCTGCGGCGGGCCGCGGACGAGCAGGCGCCGCCTCCGAGTGGGGAGACTCGCCGTCCCGAGGCCCCCGCTGTCACCGTCCCCAAAGTGGAGGGCCCCCTGGTGGAGGTCGGTGGCCCCCGGGAGCATCCTCGCATCCTAGCCGCGGAGACGACCCTGGTGGAGGGCCGACAGGTCTGCGATCCGCAGGTGAGCCCCCTTCGTGCCCGCTCCACTCAACGGGTTCGCTCCCCTCAGAGTACATAGCGGGGGAAGTTACAGCCTCGCGACAGCGAGCAGCGCCTAGCCGGAGGGCTGGCCGAGCTGCGAGCCGTCCTGGTGGCGCTGCGGCGTGAGCTGGTCGCCCTGGGGGCGGCGCGGGACCAGGAGCGGCAACGGGGACCCGCAGGCGCCGAGAGGGCGCGCGGGCTGGAAGAGGGGTTGCAGCGCAAGGAGGCGGAGGTGCGCGTCATCGTGGACCTGTACCGCCAGGTAAAGTGATCCAGTGATGCAGGTGCCGTGCTCTCTGGTCTCGAAGTCCTGTGTCCTTCACTCAGGTCTTTCCATGCATGCTGCAGGTTCAGCTCCTTAGGACAGAGGTGAGCTGCATCCGGCGCTCAGACCCGGATGCGGCACGTACCTGAGGCCCCTTGAGTCCACATCTCATTTTCAACTAGTATTGTGAACTCCTTAAAGAGACCTCAAAGTAATGTAAGATTTCTATCAAAAGAGTGTCAAATTATGATACATAATTTTGATTATGTTTTTAAAGAGGTAATGCAATTATAAAAAATACTGGTGTTCTAGTTTTTTTGAAGGGTTTTTATTGTTTTTATTGTTTTTTTTACATTCTGCACACACACGCACACAACCACACTTGCATTAATATGCTCTCACTCACTCGCAAGTCACAATCGTGAACCTATCTTCTTATATGCATCAAACAAAGGTTTTGTCTGTTCCAAAGTGAAACTTAGCAGTTATTAATTCCCCATCCTTGTAAACATGAAATCATGTACTATATAGTACTTTCTACCAGAAAGACAAACTAGTACATAATCTAATCTGCCAGTTACAATCAGTTACAAGATACGGGTTAATCGGGATTTTACTAAACTCAATCCCACTTAAGGGAGAAAAATTATGATATACCACAACAGAGCTCAACTAATTTTCCTCACAGAGTGCAAATCACTTAAGCACATATTAATACTCGTGTGAATCACCTGAAAGTAAAAATATACCTATAAAATACAGTGGATATTCCCTTAACATACCAACAGATATTATACATGTGTGAGAAACTAAATACAATCTTGTCAACTAAAAAGAAAAGGCAATTAACAGAATAACACATAATATGTGCAAATAGTTCAAAAACTATTTAGAAAACAAAAAATAATAAAAAGTAATTGTACATCAAAATATAAGAAATTCCAAAATGACCAGAGCTCCACTGGAGCAGTAATTTAGTTGAAGTAGCAGCACCGTAATAAAATGGAAGTGCATTAGTTTAGACCACTATCAGCAAGCACGTATAGTTGGCAAATGCAGCAATAATTTACAACATTGTTTGCCATCACAGAAATGATAAAGACTGAGATCAACAGCCTGAAAAAGCAGGATAGATTATGTCTGAACAGTTTTATAATAAATTGGAGGTATCCAAACACCGGTTAAGGTCAAAAAGACGAAAGGACATACTGCTATAATAAATTAAAGGGTAGTTACTAAAATTTGCCACCATTACTATTTTTGAGGGATTTTAGATAACATTTTAAGATTTTTGTAGGTTTTTTTTCACATTATTTAACTGCTGCATAATTCTTGGCTGTAGCTTCATGATGAAAATTATAATTTACCATAAACGTTTTCATCACTGTAGGCAATGTAGAGGAAGAAGTCCTCCTCGTGATGCTCCTGTTGTAAAAGAAAAACATAAATAGAACAAATTTTCAAGGTTGAAATTTATTTAGTGGTACGTGGTATTGTGCATACTTGGTAAAGGGATCCCATTGTGGCACTGCTGGGTGGTACTACACTGTTAACAAGGAAGAAAAGGGCATCCTCTGGTCGCAGGTGGATACGTTTGCGGATCAGGAAGTAGAACTGACCAACAGTCAAGTCAGATGGTACAAGGTACTTCTTTTTGTCGAGGTCACCAATTCTAGCCTTGGGAGCCTTCTCCACTATGACCTGGAACAGGAGACACAAAATGTTTACATATGCCCTGAAAACTTTCTCTACATTATGACAGGAATGAATTTCCTAGATAGATATTTAGAAAACAATAATGTCTTTGCTCTCTGTGGCAACTGTAACTAGCTCAAGATGAGTAACTGTTTTCATTGCCACTGACACACAATGGGGAACTAAAAAAAACATGTACAGTAATGAACTATGAAGTTACTAAACATTATATTGCTTTGAAATTGTTCAGTTGATTGCAGGTGTGATGATAAAGCACTCTACACAGTTACACTTTTATCTCAAAAACTTAATTTGACAGGCAATTTCCTGCTTCAAAAACATAGAATAAAAATTGTCTGAGTTAATTTTTAATATATTGGTATACACATAGAAAATAAAGAAGGAAAAACAATGTAAAAGAATGACAGCAACCTCCATGGACAGGAACAGGTGCACTTATTTTAGGTTATTTCACTTTCCAATTGCACAATTACATGTACTGTCACAAATAGTCGTTGAGAACTAAAAATAACACGAAAATATTTCTGTCCCAAACTCTGCGCATGCCTGAAAATGGATGATACATAACAACCTAACGCAAAATCTCAAAAGTTTGTCATATTGTTATCATCCTCGCGAACAAAGAACGTAGTGGACTAGCCTTGAATTCCAAATGCGTCATTCGTCCCTGTTCATCAACAGTGTGTTTGCATCATTTTCCAAAGTCACGATGACAAAATCAAATAGAGAAAATCTTTAAAGCAATCTTGTAAACGAGTAAATGCGACAAATTTCAAAATCCTTAATACTAGACTGGACATAAACAAAGATCCGTCATAGTCTGGGCTGAACGAATTTAGGCAACTCGACTTTTCCGGGAATATAAAGACTTACAGGCACTCTGTCGGGGTATTTCCTCCTAATCTTTTCTCCTTCACTCTTCCTCTTCTCGAAGGGGTGCTCTTCTTTGTATTGGAACTTCATTTTCAGATTTGACGACGAGGAACAAACAAGACGAATATTTTGGTACCAAACGCAGACGACGTCTTTCACTCAATAACAAATGTCGGAACAGCTGAGCCTTTGGAGCCTTGTTCAGCAAAAGTAGTCCCTCCTCGCCAAATAGTCCGCATTGGTATGAGAGCAAATTCCCCCTATAGTTCGAGGAAAGGATGTCGAAACTTGTTAAAACAATTGTAAGAAGACACGACTCGAAAAATATTCACTGCGTTTACTGCTTGATGAAAATCAATTAATTTATGACTCACAACCACCTGGAAGTGAAAATGTTTTAGTATTACTCCGCTCTGGGGTACGGTCGAGTCGGTCGAATCAATGTGGTCACATTTCATTAAAAGGGAGAGAATGGACAATCCCCAAGACGATTCTAGCTGTTCGTTATATGCCAAAAAACAAATAAGTCAGTATGTTTGTATTTCTTTTAAACAACGGCACGTTTATGAAGCGCTTTGAAAGAAGACACTAGCGGCTATTTGCGTAACTGTACATCAATCCAATGACATCATCAAAAATGTGATGTCGTAGGCTCTAATCAAAACTACTTCAGCCGCTTCCTGTCTGTACCTTCTATGACTGATCAGGCAATGTACTTCGGCAATAAATTCACAATTGAATCATCATGTATGAGAGTTAAGTTTTGTCCATGATACGGAGAGGTTTTGGTCCCTACTCTCAATCACGG